GAGGTCGCCCGGCTGCTGCTCGCCACCGGCCGCTGGAAGAGGCTGCGGCGGGACACCCCCCGGTGCAACCTGATGCTGGGAGAGCGGAACCGGCTGCCCTTCGGGAGGCTGGGTGAGCCCCGCCGCGCCTCCCCGCCCGCTGGGCGGCGCTTTTGTTTCAGGGCCTACATCTTCCCTCCGTGGCTTCTCGGGCACGTCAGAAATGGATCCGGGAAGATCTAACCGTGCCGCTTTTAATGTCTTCTAGTCTCCTAAGTCGGTTCGGAGCCCGAGTCGCGGTGCGGCCGCCCGGGGCCGCAGCTGCCTCCCGACAGTGACTAGTCCCTGCAGCCCGGGGACGTCGGCCGCCGGGCTGGGACCCGAGGCCTCGCGTGTCCCGGCTCCCCCGGCCCGGCGCCCGCACATCCCATCGGGCAGGGGGCGGGGCTGGGGCGGGGCAGGCTCCGCAGAGCCGGTGGCTGACGTCCGGCGGGAGTCATCTTGCCGCTTTTCTGCTCTGAAGATTCTGCCCTGCCGAGTGTGGGCGCAAGAGGGGGACTTGTAGGTGTTAAACCCCCGGAGGATCTGCTACCCGGAGGCTCAGATGAGGGGTAGAGGACTTGGGAAAGACCTCCGGATTCCAAGAGCGGGAGCTTCACGAGGGGCCCTAGCCCAGGGAAGGGTGGAGGGGGGTCTGGTTTTAAACCTCTCCTTATTTTCAGCAAAGAACGTGATTTCTCAGTTATGCACTGAATTAAGGTTTTGCATGAGGCTGCGTTCGCCCTCTGTCTCTGCCCTGCTGTCCCCGTGGGAATTACCCTCGTGCACATGGTTGAAGCAGGCTCGGCACCACCATACCCGCCAGGGAAGGGGCAGGAGAAAGGAACTGCTCCTTTTGTTTTTTTGTTTGTTTGTTTGTTTTTTGCTACCGGGAATCCGACCTTGGTGTTACAACACCGCGCTCTAACTGAGCTAACCGGCTAGTCCTCTGCTCCTTTCTAAAGGATGTAACCCAGAAGTTGTCCAGATCGCTTCACCTCATATCTCGTTGACCTGAGCGTAGTCTCACGGGCTCCCCTCACTGCACAGTCATCTGGGAGGTGCAGCTTGGCTCAGAGTAGTCATGTTCCTTGCCAAAGGCCCCTGGGGTGGGGGACAATTGTATTCCAAGGACAGAAGGGGAAAATTGATACTAAGAAAGAGTCATCTCTGCTTTGGAAGACAACCAAAGGAGAATAATGTTCTATGTCTAAGAGAAGAGACAGCTTTTAAAAATAGGTGTGGTCAGAGGATGAATGGGCAAAGACTGAAAATAGGTCATTGGGAATTGACTGGCCATTGGTGAGCTTGCATAGAGCATTTGGGTGAGGGTAAAACTGTAATGGTTTGAGGAATGAAGGGTGTTGTGGCATAACCTTAGTGATTTTTTTTCCTTTGGGATAGTACTGGGGACAGCTTTGCATTGCTATACACAGTCATGATGTACAGTGGTGTCTCCATGGAAGGGCTGATTCAGACCCCCAGAAATCTTAGAATACAGTATGGGGAGTGTACCTGGAGAGTCCCTTTTGTTAAATTGTCTCTGCAAGAAGTCTCAGCGAAGGGAATACCTTCCCTGCAAGGAGGAGGAGGATAACCCGTTTTTACAGTTGAGAACAGTTATTTCCTCCTTGCTTCGTCCACTTCCCTTCCTGACTCACTTTCCTCTTTGGACCTGACTGTGAAAGCTAAAGTGGAATCCTAGTGTTAACAACAGACAAAAATGCCTCTTCCGTGGCTGGGGCAAAGGTCATTGGCACTGCTGTGGGTGCTCAAGCCTCGGGATGAGAACAGAAACCTAGAGTCCTAATCCTGAACCAGGTACCACAAATTCAGCAGACAATCAGCAAGCATTTGGTTTTTATGGGAAAGGAAACATTATCCCACAACCAAAATGGTTATGTACCATCATTGTTAGAGATATTTACCTTTTGTCTAAAGTGCACTGTGTGAAACCCAAGGAGAAGGCTCACAGAGCTGGGTTAAGGCTCAGGAGTACCTGGGAATGAGAAGGAGGCAGTTCAGGCATGAGTCAGGTCTGTCTGCGCCAGGGAGACAGTGAGAGCCAGTTAATATCCGAAACTTGTGATTTGATTATATGCCATTCTCAGATGAATTCTTCTTACCTCTGGCATCTTCAACTCAAAGTCCCTTTGTTTCGTCTTACTTTGAGTTTTGTTACTGGAAATGAAATGCATTTTGTTAAGATTTTAAACAAAACATTTTTAATTATAAATACAGATTTGTTTGTCTTTGTATCTTTCCTGCTCTAAGGTTATAGAGACGGGAACATATAACAAGAACTGTTGAAAATGAGTTTCCCTGTGGGATGATGCACAGAAGGATGTTTTCAGGGCTTCTGATTTTATAGACATGGCTTCTCCACTACCTTCCTTTGCCTTCTAGTGGCTCCCCTAGAAGCTGGCAGAGGTAGACAAGCTTGAGACCAACAGCATCGTAGTTCTGCTGCCTTCCTTGATGGCTGCAGGAAGCACGGTTGGAGATGTGGAAAGTGTGGTCTGTTGAAGCAGCCTTATATTACAAGCGTGTATGTGTTAAGCCAAGACAGGAGTGTGGTGGGATAAGGGGGAGGTGAAATAGAAAATACTCCCAATACCCTTCACCCTAACAAGAAAAAGCAGAGGAATAGTGGTCTTTGGCAGACCTGTGATGTTGAGATTATAATAATCCACTATAAAGTGGGAGGGGGGAATACTGCGAGAAAGAGGGACCTCAGGGACAGAGGAACAAAAATGTTCCATTTCTAACAACCAGTCTTGAAATGAGAGAAAGCAAAGCTGGGTATGACACAACTGTTCTCTCTCCTGCGTGCTGGTGCTGATGCTGGCGTCCCCACCTGTCCTGTTTCCCTTCTAAGCCTCCTCTTTCCTTCATAGGTCACGAGCCTGGGCTGGTGCAGTTGGTGAATTACTACAGGGGTGCTGACAAACTGTGTCGCAAAGCTTCTTTAGTGAAGTAAGTGTTCTTTAAGACCTGTGTTTCCAGTTTTTCATATAAATGTTTTTAATTCTCATCCTGAAACACTTAAGCAAAAATGTGGGATTATTTAAAGGGCAAAAATACTTTTGTTTAAAAAGCCAGCACATATCAGTTCTGAAGCTTCCTCTAAGCTGCTTTGGTGGCACTCCAAACTGTTGCTGTCTGGTGCTTCGTAAAGCCTGCTCTGAGGTGAGGCTCACTGGAAGCAGAGCCTGACTCAGGGTTTCTTGTGTAAGTGATTTCTTGGGGGAGGGCTCTTAAGAGAAGCCCATCAGAAAGCAAGTTGAGCAGGGCAAGGCAAGGGAAAGGAGAAGCCAAGCAAAGAGGTTAGTTTCAGCTGAAGTCCTACCTCAGCCTGATGTCACGGAGCACTGGAGCGAATGGCACCCCAGAGTTGTCGCATCCTGAGGCAAGGGGACCCAGCTCCTGTATTCCAGAATCAGTCAGTCATTGGCCATGGGGAGAGTCAGAAGACATAGTTTTCCGTGCATTTCTGGGTAGGGACTGCTCCCTGGAAAAGGGCATGCAAAAGCCCTTAGCAGCCAACTCTCATAGCAGCTAGGGGGCCTTCAGAAAGGCTGCCAAAGCTGTCTGGGCAGGGCATAACAGTATGTAGTCCACCGCCCATCTCCAAGTAGTGGGTTATAGCAAGTATCACAAGAACAGCATCATAAGGTGGAAGGAGACAGTATTATACAGTGGCTAAAATCTAGGGTCAGCAGCTTGGCTTTTAACCCCAGCTCTTCCTCTTGTTAGCTCAGGCAAATCTCATCCCTCTAAACCTCCCTCATAAGGTGGTTGTGAGGATTAAATGAGGCAATGCGTGTAAAGTGCGTGTAGCACAGTGGCCTGCTATATAACGAGTGTGTGAATCTGTGCCTTAGTTTTCATCCCTGTAAAATGGGGATGATAATAATTGTAACTACCTCAGGGTCGTTGTGAGGATTGAGTTAATTTATGTAAAGGCTCTGAATAATGCCTTTCTTGTAGTTCACACCATACAAATGAAAGGTCTCCTCTTTGTTACTATTATTATGGTTGTCATTGCTATTACTGCTCTGGTTTCAACAGGGAGACACTGGGTATGGGCCCTAATATCAGGGCTGTAGTAGGTCTCCAGTATTCTTTCCATGGTGACTGGTGAACATGTATGTGTAGCCAAAGAGGTGAGTTAGGTAAGAAGACACTGGAGAGTACGACTTAGTGCAAAACTCTTTCCCACTAACGTTTCTGTCTGGACTCTAGATATTCACCAGGTTGAGTTCTCACAGGAACATTTCGTTTTTTATTCAGAGTCACTGGCCCTGGTAACTTACACAGCCACTCTTCTCTATGATGGGTTTTTGTGATTCGTCAGCCATTCCTAAAGGCATGTGAGGCTTCCTCAAGTCTTCTTATTACATATTCGTATACTTAGAATGCACACAACAGTTTCACTGCAGTCAGGAGAAGTGGGACATGATTGTTTATTCAGATTATTCATTTAGAAATGTTTATAAAATGTTTATTTAGTCTTTTCTACTATGATTTTTTTTCTCTAAAGAGAGGTAGAATTTTCCTAAGTAGGAAGCAGAGGATGCTGTAAAACAATTTTCTGCATATTTACATATTTAGTAACTGTAGTGAGGCAGAGTGAGTACAGGGCTGGAGTCATGACCAGGTCTGAGCAGATATCTGTGACCTTGGACAGCACCACTCTGAGTCCCAGTGTCGCATCTGTAAAATGGGGATAGGTGGTGGTGACAATACTTGCGCTTTGCCCCTTGGTGTCCTGTGACGTGATCTGTGGTGGCACCTTATGAATGATGACATGACATGGAGGCTGGGGTTGTCATCATCCTCATCAGCTTCCTCCATTCTGTCAGGTGTCCTGCAAGGGGCTGTAGTAATTCCAGGAGACGATGGTTTCCTTTGTCAGGGTGTCTCTCTCCCATGATTTTGTATGGCTTGAAAGGACTCCAGAGAGGTAGAAATGTAATCTCCTTCATTTTATAGGACAAAATCTCAGCTCATAGAGGACAGCCAGGTTGCCCACAGCCACAGAAGTTTGCATTGAGCCAGGACAGTTCTAATCTGTACAAATGGGACCCATGGGCAGTGTGACTGAGTGCCCTCAGAAGGCTTCCCAGAGGCTCGATGCGGTTCTACGCTGGACCCTGCACAGCCCACTCCTTTCTCCTGTCCCTTTGGGGAGTTTCAGAAATTCATCGAGGCCCCCAGGCCATTGTCTCAGAGCCTTGAAGGGCTTTTCTTATCCTGGCACAGATTGGAGGCTTTCTTTTCCTCTTGTAAGCATCACTCCCTTGTAGTTGTGAATAGACCTCCCTTTGCGGTTGCTTCCCAAATGGGCTGATGAGGAAATGGAACAACTACAAAGGATTTCCTGCAGAGCCTGGCCCTGGTTCTGTGCAGGAAGTCAGGGCTTGCAAATGAGGGTCACTTACAGACCAGTGCTGTCCAGCAGCAGAAATAGAATGCTAGCCTCACATGTAATTTTAAACTTCCGAGTAGCCACATTAAGTGCCAAGAAACAGGTGCAATTAAATTAGCCTATTTTATTTAACTGAATAAATCCAAAATATTATTATTTTGACATTTTGACATGACATTTGACAACTGAGATATTTTATATAAATATATATATATATATATTAAATTCTGAGTCTTCAAAATCTGGTATTATTTTACATTTGTAGCATATCTTAATTCAGACACTACATTTTCACTGGAAACCCTTGATCTGAATTTAGATTTTTTTTTTTTTTTTTTTTTTTTTTTTTTTTTTTTTTTTTTTT